AAAAAAAAAAAAAAACAAAAAAAAACAAGAGATTTCAGCTCTGAAAAATTCTTCAAAGTTAAAATACTCTTTTAAAAAGGGTCACAGACAATCCCAACAGCATGAAGAAACGTTGAGCTCTGCCAGAACTTCTTCGGTAGTACTTTTCGTTTTTTGATTCTCAAAAAGCAATGACCTCAGTTGTTGAAAAAAAGGTAAAAAAGAATACAGTTTTCCAATCCAGAACCCACTTCCCAAATACAGTTTCAATTCCCCAGCTATCTCAATAGAGGGGCCTGAAGAATCCTCGTGAACGTACACTAGATGGAAAGTTCTGCTCTGTGATGATGTGCTACAATGCATCCTGAAATCCCCACAACTCAAACCTTGTGCAACAATCAATCGCAGCATTAATTATCATTAACAATCGACATTCATGAACTAATTCTATGCTTAGAATCAAACAGCAGAGGAGAGGAAAAGCCCAGATCACTTTATTCCCAGTTTAGTGTTCAGGCCATCATCCTAAACTCTCTTGCCCACAGAGAAGCCCCCCACCCCCTGCCCGCCCACAAGAGCATGAACTACCATCCATCCCTTCACCCTCTGCCAATTCATCAGGTCAGACAGCAAAGCAGCGCGACCTGCGAGTGTTTCCGAATACTGACAAATGTGGGAAATAGTTCAGAATGTATACTGGCAGAGCAGTTGGCTTCCAAATCTCGGCTCAGTTAATCGTGTTATTAAGGGATGCAGGAAAGCGCGCAGTGGGTACAGCACGGGCCACGGGGTCCTACGGCCCGAGTTTGAATCATGGCTCTAATCAAAACAAGCTGTGACTTTACCTTCTATGGACCCACGTACCCCCTATGATTTATGTACAAAATGAACTGAGCTGGACCCACGTACCCTCTTAGGTCTTTTCTAGGTTAGCAAACACTTAGTGATTCTGCATATTCTCGGCAGAAAAAAGATCAGCAAAGGCAGGACACTATAGCATTTATCACATCACGGGCAACCACTGGTGGGGGACTTAACCGGCTCCCACTAGATTCAAAACCTCCATTAAGGCAACCAGACATGGTGACCTTGAGTCCCCGGGGCCTGCGTAGCCCAGAACATGGTGTGCACAGGTATTCGATACATGTCTGCTGAAGGAACAAAGGAATGAATGTTATTCAATGGCCAAGTTATTGCCCTCACTAAACAGGACACGGTCGTGAGGAAAACTATCAAGTAGAGTGAAAAACTCTTCTGTGTTTCTCTGGCCTAACGTTAACATTATTAAGTGGAATTAACTCTGCTTCTGAGACAGTGACATTCAAAGAAATCGGTTGATAAAAACATAATGTCCTCTTGAACTTTGAAAAGGCTTGAAAAAAAACCCAGCCTGCTAAGCCAGATGGTTGAAAGTACAGCAAAAGGGAAACAAGAACAGTCGGCTAATTTCAAGGGAACCTCCTCTACTTCCTCACCTCTCTTCCTTCGTCGAGCCCCTCCAGCCTGGCTTCCCCCTCCCCGGGTCACCTGCCACAGCAATAACCCTCCTGTTGCCAAAATCAACGAACACACTGGTCTTCACCTTGCTAGGCCTCAGTGGCAGGTGGCACTTCTGTCCACTCTCTTCGCTGACACACTTTTCTGGCTTCCGTGGCAGGACACGTTCCTGAATTTCCACCTTCCCAGCCATTTCTGCCAGCATCCCCCTCTCTGCATATTCTAAGACGGTCTGCAGGTTCCTAAAGACGCTGTCCTGAGCCCAATTCTCTTTTACTCCCTGCCTTCCCTTGGGTACACATTCTAGAGACTTTAAATGTCACCTGAATGCAAGGAACTCCTAAATTTCTACCTACGGCCCAAAGCTCTGTTCTGGATTCCAGACTCATGTATCAAACTGTTACTTTGATTCCACCCACGTCTCACAGAGAGCTCAACCCAGTATGCCCAAACTAAAGTCTTAACCTTCTCTGTCAAATCTCTTGCTCACACAATCTTTTCATTTCAGCAAGAAGCACCACCATTCACCTGGTTGTTAAAATCAGAAGCCCGAGTCACCCTTAACATACGCGCCTCCCTGCCCCCCCGCCATCTCATATCCAATTTATCAGATCCCCGTGATTTGCCCTACAAAGCGTACCCCAAGTCCACGGTCTTCTCTCCATTTTTACGGCCACCGCTTGCGACCAGCAGCTCGTTCTGCACTCGTCTCCTAACTCGGGCACCGCTCTGCATCCAGGGGATCTCGATAAATATTTACGGACTGACGACTGCTCTTCCCATTTGCCTCCAATTTCCACACTCCGGCAAGCTTTTCCCCACACACGTCCTGCACACACGGTCTTCCTCTGCCTGCCGAACCTTCCTTCTTCTCCCCTGGCTGACCCTTTCGCGTCCGTGGGGTCCTAACCTACAGGTCCCCCCTCAGACCATCCTCTTGTTCCCTCACTGCTTCCTTTTCTTGTCCTTCAGAGTATCCACCGCATGTGATTACTGATTTGTCTGCCTATCAGCGTAGGCTCCTGCACCTAAGCAAGGCAAGTGGGAACAGAGATCGCTTTCATTTGGTTCACTAGCAACCGTCCGGCCTGCAAAAAAAGGGCCTGGTCGTTAATAGGTGTTCAATTAAATGCTACTGAATGGCTGCTGAGAGCTGCCAGTTAACATTATCAGACTTGTTAAAGAACGGATCTCCTGAAAAATCTGCTGCTCAAGGCCTTCTCATCCACATTATATTCTTGGTTTGCTCTCCACGTTCCCTATTTGAGAAGAGAATTCAGATTATGGACACTCAAAATGGACACACAAAGCAGTGCTCTAAACCTTAATACTTGCATATAGTACAAAATACAATTACACATAAAAACAGAAGATGAGCATACACACTCCCTTGAAAAGACTGTGTTTCTACAGAATGAAAGTTAAACAAACAAAACAAAGAGCCTTCTTTTTCAAAACAAAGCCATCTTACATTACGGCCCAATGTACAAACTGCTGTTTCGCAGATGAAAACCTTGGTTTCTTACTAAATTGTAACACTAACCTTAGAGAGGTTTACATTTGCTCCTAATTCAAAAAGTCAAGGGAAAAATGAAGCAAGTGCATGTAATTCTCCTTGCCCTAGTCTAGAACTGAAATGCGTAACATCTATATGGTATAAAGTCCCTATAACGTTTGAAGCTGTAGCTAAGGAACAAGGACACTTTACTGCACATGTAGTAATTAGCAACAGTTAAAAATAGCAAATCATGGGGTGCTTGGGTGCATTAAGCTCAGTCCATTAAGTGTCCCACACTTGATTCCGGCTCAGTCATAACCTCACAGTTGTGGGATTGAGCCCCACATCGGGCTCTGTACTGACAGCATGGAGCCTGCTTGGGAATCTCTCTCTCCCTCTGCCCCGTCTCCCTCCCCCAATCTAAGTAAATGAATAAACTTAAAAAAAATTAGCCAATCATTAGTACTGCAATATCTTAACTGGCTAAATCACATTACTCTTCTTTAAATATTTCAACTAGAATAAACAATGTTTGCAGTTTTGTGAATATACAGCATTCACTTACTTAGGTTTTTAAAAAAAATCAATAAATAGGATTTTTTTTTTTAATTTTTATTTATTTTTGAGAGAGAGGCAGAGCATGAGACAGGAAGGGGCAGAGAGGGAGAAACAGAACCTGAAGCAGGCTCTGGGCTCCGAGCTGTCAGCACAGAGCCCGATGTGGGGCTCGAACTCACGAACTGTGAGATCATGACCCGAGCCGAAGTTAGATGCCCGACTGAGCCACCCAGGCGCCCCCAAAAATAGGAATTTAGAGACCATCTTGTATCTGAATGACAATTTAAAGCATAATCTTCTCATTTGTTAGGCCTCTCGTGGCACACAGCTGACCAGGCCGTAACTCGTGAGTGACTCTTCAGCGACTCTGAAAACCTAGTGCGGTTTGCTCACTGCTAGTAGCTTCCATGAGTTTTCCTTTTACTTTATATCAATAAACGGATACAACCACACTTCCTATCAGGAGGCCCATACAACTCTATACAAGTCCGACTAGTCAGTCTGTCTTATTTAACAGAAAAATAACTTTTAAATAGATTATCCAGTGAATAAGAAAAGAGTAACCAGGATATTGAAAAGGAAAGTGAAAGTCTCTTACGTCTGCACACCAATTATTCATTAGTCCAGCTCCTGTAAGCCCAGAGGAGAAAAGTTCTCTTCGCAGGCTAACGGGTTCCTATTCTCTGGCTCAAGGAACCCAAAGACATTGTTGTATCTTAGCTAAAGGGTTTTGTTTGTTGACTAACAGTGTTTTTAAACGACAAAATCAGTAACATGGTTTCTTTCCTTAGGGGAGCAAATCTGAAATTTGTTTATTTTGCTCCCCAAGAAAACAGAGTTCTGTTAGACTACTGTTTTTAGATGGTTTTTATACGAAATGATCAGAAGTTATAAAATCTCACAAAAAGGGACATGAAATCTTTAAAAAATCGTTGTATTTTGTAAGGAACTTCTTTTTTTTTTTAATCCTTGGAAAAGAAGCCCAAATACCCTCTTCAACAGGCATCCTCGCAGAGCCTCTACCCACTACGGGCCCAGGAAACAAGGGGGGGGGGGCGTGCAGGTGTGTGGGCAGAGGGTCCGCAGAGACACAGAAAAGGAGGGAAGGAAAAAGAAACACGCACATTCAGTGGGAGTGGCTGGGGCACCTGCACCTATGCCAGAGGTCACCTCCACGCCGCCAGCAGGAAGCTAGGATTTGATGCGTTCCGCCTACACATCGGCTTGAAAACCAAGCAAAGTGACAGGAGAAGGCAACAAGACCCAACAGCGCGATGCCAGCTCGGTTCCCTTCAGTAGAGACGACATCCGGTCTAGTGAGAACAGAAGTCACAGCCCGAGTATTTTAGAACTCAGGGTTTTTATACTGGTAACCAACAGAGTGAATCAAATCAATGCTTACAGGCATTTGTTTTTTTAAAAAGCTACTTATGTAAAAGCTACTTATGCAAAAAGCTACTTTATGTGCATGTGGCGTATGAGGAACACCAGGAGCTGATGTTAATAATATGGCTAATATGAGCCGGGCACTGCACCAGAGGCTTTACTTTACATGGATCATCTCATGTAATTTCTGTAACAACTGGTAACAGCAAGCCCTCAGATAGGGAGATTTCAGAAACAGAAAAGGCTGGGGGACTTGTTCAAACTCACACCATCTAGTTCCATGTTACCCAACAGGAGAGCAGGTAACCGCAGCGAATTTTAAGGTCATCACATTAAAACCATTTGTAAAAATGTCTTGTAACATGTGAAATAAATAAATCAGTAAGTTGGAATATGGTTATTTTCAAATTTGCTCGGAAGATACATGGAGCAATACCAACTGCACAGGTCTTATGACTTAGACCTAACGCCAAAAAAAGTCAACGAAGAGTAATTCCACTCAAGTTTTCTGCATCTGTTTTATAATAGTTGGGGATGAAAAAGTTCATCGACAGCACGGATTTTAAAAATCTTTTTTATTCATTTTGCAAAAAGAAGAAAGCGATTAAGTTGGAAAGATTAACATAAACAACTACCACTGTAACAGATTGGTAACTTTAGCCAAGGCCACTGAAGTCTTGTTCTCAAAACAATATTACTATTTCATTGATACCTATCAACCCATTCTAATAAAGCTCTGCTAATGTGGATGTTAACAAATTCTCTTGAAAAAAGGCATCTTGCAAAAAAAAAACTTTTTTCACAATGACAAAAGTAAACTCTATCCTACAGCTCACACACACACACACACACACACACACACACACACACACACACACAGTACTTTCAAGCAAGGAAATGAAATTAATTGTCAATTTCCAGATATATTCAATTAAAAAAATAGGCAGTTTCTAACTGGAACAAAAACCAACACAAACCACGATCTGGAATGCTCATAAGCAGTATAAAAACTGTGACAGCTACCTAAGAAGCACTGCAAAGCTGGGGCGCCTGGGTGGCTCAGCCGGTTAAGCGGCCGACTTCGGCTCAGGTCACGATCTCACAGTCCGTGAGTTCGAGCCCCGGGTCAGGCTCTGTGCTGACAGCTCGGAGCCTGGAGCTTGTTTCAGATTCTGTGTCTCCCTCTCTCTGACCCTCCCCGTTCATGCTCTCTCTCTGTCTCAAAAATAAATAAACGTTAAAAAAAAAAAAAAAAAAAAAAAACACTGCAAAGGAGCTCATGAAATAACAGCACAGGTGTCCCGACAGCCCCTTCTCCACACCAAGTGCAAATCTGGGCAACCATGTGCTGGACACGGGCCCATTCCCAAATGACAATTTCTTAGAAAAATACATAGCTGCCTTTCACGCTGGTTGCCACTAGGCTCTCATGTTTCAGGGTACACGTTAAAAGCCACGTTCACTGACGGAACATCAGCTGAGGCTCACTAGTACACGTAGTTTTCAAGGATGTGAAGATCCAAACAGCCTTTATCATGATGAACGGTGGTGAGGATGAACCTGTACCACTAAGTTAGTAACTCTACCATTAAATGTCATCTAAGATTATTACATTATAACTATGACCTAAGTTAATAAAGTAAGAAAGGAATGACACAGGGATATTACGAAAGTTCAGAAGGCAGGAACTGTGACTACCAGTGCAACGCTATGTATTCTTTTATGTTTATTTATTTTTCAGAGAGAGCACG